TATTGTTCCTTTTGTATTGGTCACACAGTTCTTTTAATATTGTTTCATTTCTGGAGATCCTATTATCTCTCTCTGTGACAGCTTCTCTGTGTTCCTGTTCTCTGATTTCTATTCCATTAATGGCTTCTTGCATATTATCCCTTCTGCTTTTACATCCTTCCAGAGATTCTTTTATTTCTGTATTCTCCCTCTGTACTTTGTCTGTTAGCTCTTGCATTTTTCTCTGCAGATCCATCAGCATGGTCATGACCTTTATTTTGAATTTTTTTTTTCAGGAAGATTGGTTAGGTCTGCCTCCCCAAGCTCCTTCTCAGGGAATGTCTCTGTTAGTCTAGTCTGGATGAAATTCTTCTGCCTTTATGGCGATAGAGGTAGTTGTGGGGAGTTGGCACGTGTGTCAGCTGTGAGAACAAAGTCCCTTCCCACTTGCTCATTGCCTGCCTCTCCTGTGAGAATGGTAACCCCTAGCGGCTTGTGCTGGGCAGCTGAGTGCCGACGGGGTCTCTGAGTATGGCCTGGGCAGCTGCAGAGGACACTCTGCATGGCTGCTGTGGGTGTGGCCGCTTTCAGGCTGCTGCTCTGCTATGGCGGGGTGCGCCAGAGGGGGAATGGGTGGGAGGGTGTTTATTGCTGTGAGGGGCCTCAGAGCTGTGCTGCTGCCCAGGGGTTAGGGCACCCAGAGTTCCCCGGGATTCCCAGATGCTGGGCTGAGTGCTCCGGGACGCTCCTGTCCCTTTAAGTCTTTCAAAAAGCACTCGCTTTTCTTTTGTCCCAGGGGTGCCGGCTATGGGAACCTACTTGCAGGTTTTACTGTTCCATTTCCCTATTATCCAGCACACCACGCACTGTGTGTCTGTGCTCCTAGTGTGGATGACTAGGGCTGGATATTTAGCAGTCCTGGGCTCCCACTCCCTCCCCGCTCCGACTCCTCTCCTCCCACTGGGGAGCTGGGGGTGAGGGGCGCTCAGGTCCTGCTGGGCCGTGGCTTGTATCTTACCCCCTTCATGAGGTGCTGGGTTCTCGCAGGTGTAGATGTAGCCTGACTGTTGTACTGTATCTTCTGGTCTCTCTTTTAGGAATAGTTGTATTTTCAAAAATATATGGTTTTGGGAGATTTCCACTGCCCTACTCATGCCGCCATCTTGGCTCCTCCCAATAAATCATAATAATTCTAATTTTTCTATCTCCTTGATTATCATCTTAATTAGAAGAACCTAAGAGTGTTTCCCAGATGCTCTTTTTGCTTCTACTCTTGCCCTTTTCCAGTCAACTTTCTATATAGCAGCAAGATGAACTCTCCTAAACTTAATACATGCCATTTACCTACACTTGAATGGCTTTCCATTGTACTTGGAATAAATATCCAACCTTCTTGTGATAGCCAGTAGCCACTCCTTACCTCTCTAATATCATGTAAAATAAAACTACATTGAATAAAAAAATCCAACTTTAAGCTTATAATCTAACATGTACTTTTTCAAAGAATGTTTTATCCTCATTGCTATTTTTGCAATTCAAAGGTCCAGATTTAAACCATACACTCACTTAAGAAAGATGGTCTTTCATCTGGATTTTGTGCCCATCCACTTTCTATTAGAGAGATCATAAGTGCTCGATTAGGTATATCCCATGGCAAACTTTCTTCACTAGTGTCAGGTCGATGTCCTTGTGACACACTATACATAATCTGCAAAGGATTGGTGACTTCTGTCAAAACAAATATATTTCATTTATTAGAAATATACCATGATCTAATATTAAATACATTCTAAGGCCAACCAAATGAAAAAGAGGGAATCTTAAATTTTTAGGAATAATTCATTAACCCCCTTTCAATTAAAGGAATATATACAGCCCAGCCATTGCCAGACTTTTCTGCTTCCTGTGTGAGGAGTTTATGTCCTAACCTCATTGATTTTAGGCTTGGCCAGGTGATTTGGTTTGACCAATGGAATGTGAATAGAGCAGAGCAAAGCTGAGCTCAGCAGACCTAGCAGAGCCAAGTATAGCAACTCACATCTAATATGGCTTAGAAATGTTTATTTTTAAGGTACTAAAATTTTGAGGTTATTACACAGCAAGCTGACTTACACAAACCTCCAAATAAAGAAACAGAATAGTATAAGAAAATTTAAAAACTATTCTTCAATGTTTGTTGGTCTTCATAGGAACATGAATTAAATTTTCATACATAGAGTTTGTATCTACCAACGTGATGTCATCTAGAATAAGGATGTCAAAATACACTTACCTTCAAAAGGCTGTTTTCTGGATAAGACTTCCCATGTGATAACTGCATAGCTGTTTAAGATACAAGTATATATGTAGTACACTAGAAACTATGCATAATAAATTAAAGTAGAATTGATCTTAAAAACTGCCTGTGGAGATATTTTTACAAGTGATCAGGTAGTGAAATGCTACATAAAAAATCATTCTATACAACCAAGATGATGAATGTTCATATACAGTTGTTTTGAAAGGGAATCCAATTAGAAAAATTAGGATATTACTGTAATAAACTCTTGAAGTTATAGGCAAGGACTACTTGTGCATGATTCTCGAGCACCTATATGAGCTATGCCCTCTAATTACATGATTCTATTATTCACACTAAATAGCAATACAAAAGATTGTTTCAGATAGTATTATTCTGTTGATATTTTTCTGGTCTAAGAACTGTCTCCTTTGGTAGTGTTAAGTGTCAACCACATTGTTTCCTAATCCCCATGTGTCATATATGATAAAAATCCTTGAGTATTACATTATAAATTGACAAGATACTAAGATGTCCTTAAAAATTTTTTTAGGGATGCAAAGTGGTTTAAAGCAACACATCTTTAATTTGAGAAATATTAACTACTGTGATCTCTAATTTATTTTCATCACCCTTATGAGAGAAGAATAAATATCAAACTTTAAAAAGTTACTTTAAAATTCTGACTAATCTTTTTTTTTTATTAGGTTAAGTCTGAGCAAAAGCAACATACTGCACCTATAAATATCATGCTTGATACTGGCCCTTGATTTCTGTCCAGGTTCATAGTTTTCAGGTGGCATATAGATAATTGTCCCTCCTTCTGGTGAAGATCTACTACTTCGCGATTGTGAGATGGACATCAGGCGCCATTTTGATAAACCAAAATCTGCAATCTGTAAAGAAAAAGAGGAAATAATTGAATCCCAAAATTTTCTTTTTTAAAAAATTCAAGAACTTAGTTTATATTCATTGTATTTAGATTGAGATCAGAGGAAATAATTTATGTATTTCTACATATTCCACCAGTTTCTTAACAAATTGGATTCCATAGCACTGAACCCAGTAACTGCAAAAGCAATATATACTGACTTGAATTTTAGCATAATATCACAAATTTTAAAAGGAGACTAAGTTTTGAAAAATTAAACAGGAGTACTTTTTGCCTTATATTAAGAATGAGAGTATTTTTTTGCCTTAAATCATAAATGAGTGAATATACTAACTACTTTACTTTTTATGACAAGTAGCTTTATAGCATGTGCTTTCAAAATTCACCTACACCTCCCAAGAACTGCTAAACTTGTACCTAGTATGATGGTCACTGGGCATTGTTTACAACTCAGGGTTATGTTTTCATATAGATCATTATTATATGATTTTTGCCTACCAATTAAAGAATCATATATAGTTACCAATAGTATAGTTAGCATATAACACATATTTAAGTCCATGACAAGTAGTGTCTATAAAGAATATTGGTGACAAATATTTTTCACTTTTTCTTTTCCCTTTGCATTTTAATTTTTTAAAATTAAGGTATCTTTGATATACAATCTTATGAAAGTTTCACAAGCAACACTGTGGTTTCAATGTTCACCCATATTATCAAGTCCCTCCCACCCCACTGCAGTCACTGTCCATCAGTGTAATAAGATGCTACAATCACTACTTGTCTTCTCGGTGGTCTACCTTCTCTGTGACCTACCTATATTGTGACTGCTAGTTATAATGCCCCTTAATCCCCTTCTTCCTCCCTCCCCACCCCCACTTCCCAAACCCCTTCCCTTTGGTAACTGCTAGTCCCTTGTTGGAGTCTATGAGTCTGCTGCTGTTTTGTTCTTCCAGTTTTGCTTTGTGGTTATACTTCACAAATGAGTGAAATCATTTGGTACTTGTCTTTCTCCGCCTGGTTTATTTCACTGAACATAATACCCTCTAGCTCCATCCAAATATTCTGCACTTTTGATGTATCCTTTATGGTTTTAATTCCCTTGTAAATTTTGTGAAGTTATACAATATCTTATAACTCTCTAAATATTTAAAAGGTTCCTTTTTAAAACAAAAATGTTAGACAAAATATAAGAGCAGAATAGTATTTAGTGGACAAAAGAGTATAAGAAAACTTTAAAGACATTAAATTACTCAGATCTTTACACTGCATAACTTAAGAGTCAAGTGTAATGAGCTCTTCCAGCACACCATTTGTTTCAATTATTTAATTTTTTTTACTAGTTTTAACAGAAGAAATAATTGGTTTAGTGTTTAGATGATTTTGAAATGTAAAAAATAATTGTGGCCCCACTCTAAAAAGGGAAGGGGTAGACTATGTGAATCTTTCATACATTATAATAATGAAGGGATGAGCCTAAGGAAAAAAAAAAAAGAAAACACCAAGAGAAAACATGGTGGCAGTATGTGAGAGCTAAGCTGGACTGATTATTAAAGTCAGTACCTGAGGCTAAAAACATGGGTTCTAGAGGACAGATTATTTATTTATTTATATTCCGATTTTTCCACTTAATTAGCTATGTGACCTTGAGCAAGTATTTACATTTCTTTATGCCTCAGGTTACCCACCTGTAAACTAGGGATAATAACACTCTGTATCACAGGGTTGTACTGAGAAAATTAAATGAGTTATTCTAAGCAAAGCAGTCAAAACTGTATCTGGCACATAATAAGTGTTCCATATATGTTAGTAATATCAATGTCTAGTACACAGAAATAAGTCACTGAAAGTTGTTCTTATTCATATAACACCAATAATCACAGGATCAATTTCAGGGCCTTTAATCACTTTTAGGTGGTATTAAGATAGTGAGGAATGCATATCCCACTTACTCCTACTTGCTTCTAAAAACTGTTTCTCACACCCACCTTTAAAAGCAAAAACTATTCCAGTAGCACATTTGCTAGGAAAATAAGCATTACTATGATCAATAAAGTTTATTTTTGGGCCCTAGTGAAAAATGCTAAAAAAATATCTGGGGTGTGGTCTTATCCTATACATGAACCATAATTTGCAAACTCTTGGGCTAAATAATGGTTTGTATACAGAGTTGAAGAAAATGTATTCCTGAGCTTGCTTCCTTATGTGCTCCTTCATTTTACCTGTAATTATCTTTGTGTTTTCAAATCTGACCTACAAACCCTCTATTAGCTGATTTGTTCTATCTCTATCACAAACAATACTAAATTCAAAATACATGATTCATTAACAGAAGAAAAAAGTGAAGAATGTGATGGGAGGAATAGGAGTTCCATGTTTTCTTGAAGGTTTTGATAAATTTATCACTCAGCAGTAAATACAGGGAATAGGAACTTTCTGTAATTTCTCATTTTACAGAAGATTTTAACATGCATTTCAAAGCTGAAGGTTTTCTTTTTAATTAAAAAGATGATAAAAAATCAAATGAAATTAAAACATACTACTTCTAAAAATCTCCACAACTCTATCCTCTTACTAGAATAGCTATTTTCATTTACAAGTATAATCCATAGCTGTAAAACTATAAAGTTATCATCAGTAAGAAATTATGAAGAATAACCTTAAAGTATTCTGGTCTTCACACAGGACTGACAGAATAGCAGAGAAAGCAAATATGGTATGCAAATTTTTTCATTTCAAAGAAGTTTATCACTAGTTCATTTGTATCTAACGTGCACTAATGGACACCTAACAGATAACCAAGTTGAATATATTCTTTTCAAAGTATTAATGTCTCAATTGATCTTAATTGTTAATAAATATTTTTATTTTAGATACTGTTTCTGGTTAGCATTCCAGTGAGAAAACTTACTGAAAAAAAACTGTAGCAAGGTGTGAATTTGCATTTATTTTATTAAGTATTAGAAGTATTTTTTTTTGCACTTCATTTAAAGGCCTTTCCAAAGAAATAGGTAAATTAACTAATTGATATTTTTCATGAGTCACTGATGAGTTTTGACTTTAAAGGGACATTTATAAAGTAAAAAGTAGAAGACATATAGGATGTATATAAGTGTTGCCATTGTATAAGAATGCTATTAGAAAGGTCACAGATCTGTATGTGTTAAAATTAATAGAAATTATAAAAATACACAGAGCAAAACTATTTTAAATTCTATTCATATCAAAGAAAGACCAAAGGTACTCTACTGACCAACAAAAAAGAAAAAGTAGGGATCATTACCTACTACTTTGCTTCTGTTTTCTCTATCAAGAAGTTTCTGGACTGAAATAAAGAAAATAAAATCCAGGTAGGTTTGAAAGGCTTATAAAGTATGAATCTGAAAGAAGATGTGGTACATATACACAATGGAATACTATTCAGTCAAAAGAAAGAAATAAATCCTACCATTTGCAACAACATGGAAGAAGCTGGAGGGTATTACGCTTAGTGAAATAAGCCAGGCAGAGAAAGACAAGTACCAAATGATTTCCCTCATTTTTGGAATATAACAACAAAGCATAACTGAACGAACAAAACAGCAGCAGACTCAGACTCCAAGAAGGGACTAGCTGTTACCAAAGGGTAGGAGGGGTGGGGGAGCATGGGTGGGGAAGAGGGAGAAGGGGAATGAAGAATATTATGATTAGTACACATGGTGTGGGGGGGATCATGGGAAAAACAGTGCACCACAAAGAAGACAGGTAGTGACTCTATGGCATCTTACTACATTGATGGACAGTGACTGCAATGGGGTATGGGGGGGGACTTGATACTATGGGTGAATGTAGTAACCACATTGTTTTTCATGTGAAACCTTCTTAAGAGTGTATATCAATAATACCTTAATAAAACAAATTGTATTAAAAATGTGTGAATCTGAGGTTATTTTATATATACTAAGTTATTGAGAATATAGTTGACCTTTGAACAATACAGGTTTGAACTGCAAGTAAGGGTCCATTTACATGCAGACTTTTTTTCAATAAATATACCAGAAAATTTTTGGAGATTTACGACAATTTGAAAAAACTTGCAGATAAACTGTATAGACTAGAAATATCAAAAAAATCAAGGAAAAGTTAGGTATGTCATTAATGCATAAAATACATGTAGACAGCAGTCTATTTTATCATTTATTACCATAAAATCAACAGTAGGCTATTAGAAATTAACTTTTAGGGAAGTCAAAAGTTTTATGTGGATTTCTGACTGTGTAGGGAGGGTATTAGCGCCCTGAGCCCCTGCATTGTTCAAGGTTTAACTATATTTGAAAATACTGCCATGATGCTATTTGTGGGACAGAATGGAGAGGTTTTATAGGATATGAGAAAAGTAAATATCATTCTGATTTTTAAAAAGGAAAAAAAAAGACTTCCCAAACCCCTTCCCTTTGGTAACTGCTAGTCCCTTGTTGGAGTCTATGAGTCTGCTGCTGTTTTGTTCTTCCAGTTTTGCTTTGTGGTTATACTTCACAAATGAGTGAAATCATTTGGTACTTGTCTTTCTCCGCCTGGTTTATTTCACTGAACATAATACCCTCTAGCTCCATCCAAATATTCTGCACTTTTGATGTATCCTTTATGGTTTTAATTCCCTTGTAAATTTTGTGAAGTTATACAATATCTTATAACTCTCTAAATATTTAAAAGGTTCCTTTTTAAAACAAAAATGTTAGACAAAATATAAGAGCAGAATAGTATTTAGTGGACAAAAGAGTATAAGAAAACTTTAAAGACATTAAATTACTCAGATCTTTACACTGCATAACTTAAGAGTCAAGTGTAATGAGCTCTTCCAGCACACCATTTGTTTCAATTATTTAATTTTTTTTACTAGTTTTAACAGAAGAAATAATTGGTTTAGTGTTTAGATGATTTTGAAATGTAAAAAATAATTGTGGCCCCACTCTAAAAAGGGAAGGGGTAGACTATGTGAATCTTTCATACATTATAATAATGAAG